AATTCCTCAACCATCCGACCATCGAGCAGCATGGTGGATGGGATTTCAGACCCCAGGAAGTGGATCCGGTAGCGCGATCCAGCCAGGGATTAGCTCAGTGGGATTAGCGTCAGATTATCTTTCGCAAGGTACACGGTTCGGATCCAAGTTTGTGCTCAATTTTTTAATTTCGATTACTGTACTATGTATCTTTAGGTACTATTAATAGGTGGAGTACTACGTAGTAGTACTAGTAGTACTATGTTATACCGATACAGTAGTTTTCAATCAAGCTGTTTTCTGTCACAAGTTACAATTCACTTTTATCCGGAATTCTGTGCCATACTTCAACCAAGATGTTTTATCTAAATCGAAGGAGATTTTCCAGCTTAAAGTGGTCGGTTGGCAGTGATTTTGACGGCTTAAAGTGGGGACATTTTGTAACACTGGGTGGTTCGATCCCCGGCTTCCCCGGAATATTTCCGCAAGGATTTATCCGTACGAAGACGAGGACTGAACTTTGAAGAAGATTGGTCGAAGCACGAGGTATGAAGCGTTGAGCGAAGTAAACACCGAAGATTACACACCTCCCCTGGTGGAGCAGGCGCGTTACAATTGGTTAATTGAGTTTGGATTATCATTTTAAGACATTCCTTCGCGAGGGCGCAGCGGTTCCACAACATGTGGTTCTAGTATCGGCCCTCGCGGAGGAATGCTTCAAGAAATGATAATCCAAACTCAATTAACATGAACAGTAACTTAGAAGCATTGGTTGCAGCTACTAACGTAGGGCACCAGTCATCGGCACTGTTGTAAGCCAATAGAAATGCCTGAATACCTCTTATTGGTCAAAATCGAGTTCTTCAAGAATTAGTGCCCCTTATAAATTAGAGGTTGGACCAGTCAATTTTGTGTTGATCATATGGTGCATTTCATCTAAAGACTACAGATCGGCCATCCTCAGGAGGAGACGTTTTAGTTTAAACGCCTCAGTTCTTTCAGTTAAACCACGTAATGTTAACGTTAAATTATTATTACTTACTTCGAAGTACGTTTTTATCTGGTAAATAGGTTAAACATCCTGAATAATCCGGATACAAAGGAAATTTAAATGCACTATACAGAAATCGTTACTGTAGCAGTTAATACCCATTCTAAACACATACTAGTATTCCTTTGATAGCTAATATGATGACAGCATCCCGCGAACTAGATTTTGGAGGATTCAATACATTACACAAGTCTAAAACGTGTGCCGATGGCTGGTGCCCTACGGAAAACGCTAACGTTACTTTTGAAAATCCTTACTGCACGTATTTACAATTTAAATTGATATCCTTTGAACCTAAATTCATGAGCTGAATCTTGCGGTTACTTTGATATTTGTATTACCTCAATATGTGTTGTAGTCAACGAGAAATCGACGAACAAAGTAAGCAAATAGCGATGCTGATGACTGGTGCCCCACGTTAGGAGGACTTTGTGCATTTTAGTGCATCTCCACCGGTTGGGACTTCTGACCGGGACTTATACGGATAATGTACGGATAAATGGGAGTCTTATGCTGATTCCAGCGATAAGTTGCATTTTCCCCACCCGTCAGACTTATAGTAGTACAAGCCCATGCTCCAGCTCCGTCACAAGTCTCGCGGCGAAGATTCGACCCTCTCGTCGAATTAGAAATGAATCGACGGAGTTGGGTAGGTGGTGTCGGGTAGGTCAAAAATGGGTAAAAGGTCCAATTTGCACGTAGCCGGTTTTCGTCGCCACAAAAGTAGTGATGCTGGCGCTGACAACCGACAAAGCCGAGGATAGTGGTGCAGATGGAGGGACCGGAAGGAAGTCGCGTGAAAATGAGTGGTCATGGAGTTCGGTACGACGAGGCCACGACAAAATGTACGACGGCACCCGGGACCAGGTGCTGGTAGTCTCAGACTGGACGGACATAATATCGCAGACTGGGCAGATGATTGGACGAAATAGGTCGGGAAACAAGGGAATAGTCGGTCAGAAAAGTCCGTCGGACAACAGTCTTCAGACGGGAACTGACAGTAGTCTCCATCCATCACTCAGTCAGGCAGCCAATCAGCGGCAACCATGAGTTGACTTCGGCCCGTTGGTAAGATCGTCGATTTGTGGTTCTCTGGGTAGGGCAAAAGCGGTGCGGTTAAGTACAGGGCAGCTCGTGGATAATACTGACGTGTTGGGAGGTCAACCAGTCGACGTCCGAGGGGTGACGTTAAAGAATCGTTAGTAGGGCCGTCGTGAAGCGTATTCAGTAATTCATTTGGCTTTGATGTGCGTGTCCTTGTTGTCGAGGTAGTCTAGAACTGAACCAGCGTTTGGGGTTCCACGTCGAGGTCTTTGTATCGTTTCGAACGCCGAAGTGGTGGCAATCCCAAGTCCATTCGTCGAGATGTTTCGAAGTCGTCCACAAAAGATCGGTATGCGGCCAGTTTGGA